CCCCAAAACCCCAAAACCCCAAAACCCCAAAACCCCAATTAAAATCAAAGATATTGAGGCTGAATTATTTCTGGAATTTATTCTGCAGATATATCAAATTCTCCAGTGTCAAAATAGTTTTCTGGGTAAAATGATCCAATTACCAGCTTCCCTCTGTACCTCCTTCCGCTAATATTGAATCTTGCTTGCTTTGCTGCAACAATATGGTTAAATTTGACAAAGATTTTGCCAACTCCTGCTGTTCAATGACCAGTGCCTGGTTCAGGCGAAGGAGACTTTATATCAACAACATCTCCAAATTCTTTGCACAGATCACAGAGATCTCTTAGAATTTCTTTCTTGTCTCTTTCATCAAAACAATCTTCTGGGTTCATCAATCCAATGTAGGAAACCACTCTGCTTGGAGTAAGAGCATATAAAGGAATTCTGACACGCTCTTCAGGTTTAAGATGAGCCTGAATGCCACCTCCACCTTGGGCCATATTAGGTTTAGCAGCAGGCTTTGCTCCAATTGCTGCCTTTTGAACTCTCAACTTTTTGTCTAAAATCTCAAATCCATCTAAAGCTTTGATTGCTTTTTCAGTGTCTTTATCATTTGCATATTCCAGGAAAGCAAATCCCTTGTTTAAATTTTTGTTTTGAGGGTCTGTGACTAAATTAAATGACCTCATCAGTCCAAACCCAGCACACAGCTTCCTAACCTCTTCCGAAGTCATCGAGGTTGGGATGCTTCCTATAAAGATCTTATTCTCAGATTCCTCCTCTTGTCCAGGGATTGGAGGAAGGTTCATAATATTTTTATCACTAGGAAGGAGCCCCATTTTCCGATCTATTTCACGATTGTAATCATCAATGAACTTCTTAGGCCGTCTGACTCTGATCTTATGTTTCTTCCACTCAGTTCCATCAAGACTTCATCATTGCTCGATACTATCTTTATCATTTATTTGAATGACTGCATACCTATTTGAGCAGTCTACAAGTTGGATATCTTCAAAAATATGATTGTCATGAACTTTTTCTTCTTCATCAGTCCGAGTTAAAGACTTAAAGGTGCTGATATATGTATCGATGAAATTAAATATCTCATCTACAGAGACATCGGGAGGGAGACCTGAGATGACTATTTTCTTTTTATAATAAGGAAAATCTTTTATGGTCAATCTGCCACTATCATCAGCATCCTGGTTAGCATCCTTAGGTAAAATGGGGATATCATCAACTTTCTTGGCTTCTTCCTTCTTTTCTCTCTTCTTCTCATCCTTTTTCTTCGCATCTTCTAACGAAGAGCTTGAATATCTATCAGATCTTGGGGAATTAGACCTACTGTAAGAAGAATGCCTTCTCTTTCTTCTGCTTTTACTCTTATGTTTCTTGCTCTTATGCTTACTTTCTTTAGATCTGTGTTTATGCTTCTTATCCTTCTTACTCTTAGAACTATAAAAAGATTTGTTAAATAAATCAGAGGGTGAGTTGTACCTTTTTCTGTCCCTATCCCTGTCTCTGTCTCTATCGCGGTCATCCTTCTTGTGCTTGACTTCCTTTGAAGACCCCATGGTGTAAATTCAAAATTAATTATAAAGCCTTCCGAATTATTTGGGGTTTTGGGGTTTTGGGGTTTTGGGGAG